GAGACACGGTCGGGGCAATCCACATGACCAGCAGCGAGGGGGACGTCTGGGATATCCACGTCCTGCCACGCTGTGCTGCTGCTGCTGCTGCACACCCTGACATCTGACACAATCTCGGCGCAGCTGGAGAAAACCACTGCTCCACACGTGCACCTGTGCCCGACGGGATCCACGGTGAGGCCGAGGATCGGGTGGAAGCAAGCAGCGTCTGCGCGCAGACCGTCCTCCACTCCACCTCCAGCGCGACCAGAGCCACGGGGACGACGACCGCGAGGACGGCGACCACGTCCCTGGCGCTGAAGGCGGTTCAGCACAGCCCCCTGCGCCTCCGCGAAAACCGAGGCGGGGATGCCAAACTCGTGCGAGGCGAGGTTGCGCCGCGCTACGGCCAGAGGCGGGGGGGTCCTCCTGGGCGATGTCGGCGGCCAACACCGGCGCCACCAGCCGGAGCCGCGCTAGCAGCTCGCCGCCCTCTTGCCCCTCCTGCCTGACCAGCTGCTCCAACGCCGCTCGGGAAGCAGCAGCGTCCGCGAGCGCAGCGGCCAGTTGCGCCTGCAACCGACGGATGGCGGAGTCGGCCGCGGCGGCAGCGGCGCGCTGGGCAGCTCGGCGCTGAGCCGAGCGCTTTGTGGGGCTCTCCAGAGCCTCCTCCCGTACAGCCATCATGCCCGTGAGCCAAAAGCCCCGCTCCCCTAAGTCCCTCACGCCCGCCGCGTTGCCCCGTGAACCTGGGGTCGCAGGGTACGCCGAGGGACAATGTCCAGGAGCAGGGGGCCTACGGAAAGGCATGAGCCAAAATGGCTTGAGCCGAAATGGCTACGGACGGAGCAGGAGGAGGAGGAGGAGGAGCAGGAGGAGGAGGAGGAAGGAGGAGGAGGAGGAGGAGGAGGAGCAGGAGGAGGAGGAGGAGCAGGAGGAGGAGGGGCAGGTGAAGGAGGAGGAGGAGAGGTAGGGGAAGGAGGAGGAGGAGGAGGAGGAGGAGGAGGAGGAGGAGGAGGGGGAGGAGGAGGGGGGGAGGGAGGCGGAGGAGGAGGAGGAGGAGGAGCAGGAGGGGAAGAGGAGGAGAGGTAGGAGGCAGAAGGAGGAGGAGGAGGAGGAGGGCAGGAGGAGGAGGAGAGGAAGGAGGAGGAGAGGGGAGGAGGAGGAGCAGGAGGAGGAGGAGGAGCAGGAGGAGGAGGGGGCAGGAGGAGGAGGAGGAGGAGAGCAGGAGGAGGGAAGGAGGAGGAGGAGGAGGAGGAGGAGGAGGAGGAGGAGGAGGAGGAGGAGGAGGAGGGAGGCGGAGGAGGAGGAGGAGGAGGAGGAGGAGGAGGAGGAGGGGAAGGAGGGGCTGGAGGATGACGACATCAACGGGCAGGGCGGGGCCCGCAACAGTGGGCTGGACGGTCGTGGCAGCAGCCCCCGGGCGACCCGCGCGTGCGGCCTGCGGAGCCTGGCAGTGCTGCGCGCGCTCGCCCTGCAGGGCAGGCAGGAGCGCTCTTGTGCTCGTGCTCGACTAGAGTCGGGACATTGACCTAAGGAACCCTAAATAAGGAACGAAAATGGTTTTTCCCATCGGTTAAAGTTCGACATCCTATCAAAAACCGGAGGAAAACCTGAGGCAAGCTGTGAAACACTTGAGGAACGCGGAGCCCCTCCCAAACCAAAAGGGTTCCTTCTTCAGGGCCCCGACTGTACAGGGGGACTTCGGACGAAGAATTTAAAATATGCAAGGAATACTCCAAAGATGTCCAAAAGTAGTCAAAAAATACTCCTCGTACTAATTTTTGACTATTTTTCAATCTTCCCCCTGTAGAGGGACAGGCCCGACTGAATACTCGGCGTTTCGACATTGAGCGAAGAGGAGGGGGGGGTCTGGCTCCGGACCTCTGCTTGGTGCGGCTGCTTGCGACAGTGTGTCCTGTGAGGGGAGACTCTCCACCTGCTCGAAGCAGGCGCCAAAGGTAGCCAAGATCCTCCACTCCATGAGGGGGGAAGGGGGAACGGGGAGGGGGGTGCGAGGGCCCGGGCCGATCGGCAAAACCGCGAATAAGAAAACGATCACCAGGCAGGAGCGCACGTTTCGTCGTTCCTGCTCCCCGAAGGGTCTTCGGTAGACTTCATGAGTGCACAGTGCATCGGGAGGGCAAGGAAGGGGCCAGCTCCCTTGCCCTCTCCTCGGTGGCTCGGGCAGCGGTTCTGGGGCCACACTGCTTCGGAGCCTGCACGAGAGAAAAGGGGGGCCCTGGGGCACGAGAGGGGACTCTCACGCAGTGTTCTCGCCTTGTACTTCCTTGTGCCCTAAGGGCTCCCCACTTCGCGCTCTCGCGCTGCGCGAAGCGCGAAGCGCGAATAACTTCGCGCGCTCGCGCCGCCTCCCAGGGGAGGAGAGGAGGATGAGAAGGAATCAGAGCCGAGGCGCGGAGCGCGAAGCGCGAACAACTCCGCGCCCTCGAGGGCGCCAGTGTGTCCGAGGGAGCTCCCTGAGATCGATCGCCAGAGGGGGCTGGCGCTTCTCGGCCTGCCCCCGGGTGCCGCTCGGGCACTCGGTTTGGAAGCTCGTGGGGCGGCCGGGGAGAGGGAGCTGGCTCGAGAGGAGCTGCTCCCCGACGGCCCATGAGGCTGGTCTGGGCCTCGTGCAGGCCTTTCGCACGACACCCCCGACCGGCGAGCGTGCCTCCGAGAAGATACCCGAACCCACGTCGGCATCCCGAGCCGAATCGCATCGAAGTCGAGATCGGAGCCAAAAAAATCGGCCCCCGATCGGAAGCAGTCGAGACCGCATCGAAGCGCATCGACGCGCTCGAAACGAGCCCCTGGCGTGGCCCCGGCCCTCCCCGCATGGCCCACCCCCGAAAAACGCCTAGTAGACCCGCGGCCACCCGCCTCCAGGAGAGCACTCGCTCCTCCCTGGGCCCTCGGGGCTGGGCCGGCAGAGAGCTCAGCGGCGTCATGAGCGCGAGGAGCCGACGAGGGCAAGGGACGACGACCACTTGGAGTCCGATGCGGCAGGGCTGAACCTCAACGGTGTTTTTCGTTTTCGTTTTGTTGTCGTCTTCCCTTGGTTTGTCTTCAATCCACCCCTACCGCAAAACAAAGCCGAAACGAAAACGGCCCACGAAGTCGCCGAAACACCATTGAGGTCCAGCCCTGCGATTCGGACTCCAGGGGAACGAAGAACGGCATAAACCCAAAAACTCTGAGGTCCGCACGGAGTTCTCGGAGCCGCGCTGGACACACACACACACACACACCGGCGGCGCCTCCAGCGCCGCCCCTGGCGCCCGAGAAATCCGCGCGGACCTCCAAGCTTTTTGTATGTTTATGTCGTGCTTCGTTCCCCTAGATTCGTAGCACCAGTGGCTGTCCACGGTCGATAGACATCAAATGCAACTTGCACCTCGCATGGGCATGATGGCGCAGCTCCCACGAGACACTGCTTCCGCACAGGAAACAGAAGAGCATCGAATCGACCTGACCCTCGCCATCCAAAACATCCGCCTTTCGAATATGGTGGCCTCTGAAGGCCGAAGAGTCGGGCGCAAACTCATCAGGAACGTTCTCAGCAAGTCCCTCAGCGGGGCCTTCGGCAGCCTCCGAGCCTCCAGGAATCGGCATCCCTAGGATCAGGTCCGTCTCCACAGAACTCATCCAGTCGAAGCCGACGTGATCAGAGGACTCCGCATGCGACAAGGCTGCCTGCTGCAGTGCTCATGCGGGCCACACGTGTGGCCAGTTCATGACAGCCTCCCATAAGACGATAATCCTCACATGCCTTGAAGGGCTCAGCACTAAATTCTTGCCCCCGTCACCTGCTACTGCTCCTGCTCCTGCTCCTGCTCCTGCTCCTGCTCCTGCTCCTGCTGCTCCTCCTCTTCCTCCTCCTCCTTCTCCTCCTCCTTGTCCTCCTCCTCCTCCTCCTCCTCCTCCTCCTCCTCCTCCTCCTCCTTCCTCCTCCTCCTCTCCTCCTCCCTTCCTCCTCCTCCTCCTCCTCCTACATGTCCTCTATTTCCTCCTCATCCTCCTCCTCCTCCTCCTCTTTCTCCTCCTCCTCCTCCTCCTCCTCCTCCTCATCATCATCATCAAGAGCCCACGGGCTGGCGCTAGCTCATACACATACGTACCATCGCCTGTTGCAAAACATCGTGCGCCCATCATCTCCAGAGGCGGGTGGGGGAGAGGGCGGAAGGCATGTTGCATTTTCGGGGGACTTCGTCTGTCACGTGGCGCCCCTATCCGCGTGGAAGCCGTGTCAAAACCACGTCGGATTTGTCGAACCCGCGTCGAATCCACGCCACATCCACATCGAGTCCGCATCGAGCACGCGTCGGGCAGCAGAAAACATAAAATTTGGGGACACACGAGGTCTCCCGCAGATACGACGTGAAGGAGGGCAAGGATGGGGTCAGCTGACTTGCCCCTTCCTCATCCCCGTCCTCTTCATTCTCCTCCTCCACCTCCTCCTCCGCCTCCTGTCTCTCTGCTCAGCTGTGCCTTCAGGGCCTCGCTGAGCCACGGTTCACCGCTTCCCGGATTGAGGGGGATGCCACTTGGAAGACAGCTTCGGCTTCCATTCGCACAGGGGCAACTGGATTCTCCGGGAGCTGGCGGTTCTCGAGGATGCATCGGGCGCCGCGGCCGTTTCAGAGCACTCCAGCACGGTCTATGAGCGCTCCAGGACGCCCTGGGGCGATCCATCCCGGCCCTAGCCCCGCCCGAAGCAATGGGTTTCATACAGAGAACGGTGCACCTTTGGTGCACCTTCGTGGCCCCATGGGGCCGTAGCCATAGGGGCCCCTTGTTTCCTGCTGCCCGCGCCGGACCCCCCTCATGTGTCGCCTCCCCATTTACTTACCTTAAGTCGGGCGTGTCCCTCTACAGGAAGAGAACTCAAAAATCCGCCGACCCTGTCGGTGTGTGTGGGGTGTCTGTCCGGTCCCGTCGACGGGTAGCATTATTCCGTCCCCTCCTTCCCATCCTCCTCTCCCGTCGGGGGACAGAGAGAGAGCGAGAGAGAGAGAGAGAGAAAAAAAAAAAAAGAGAGAGAGAGAGAGAAAGAACAAAAAAACCTTGCTCGTTCGGGGAACGGGTTCGCAGCTTGAGGGGATTCCATCCACGTCCTCATTACATCAAAGGGAAGCCCCTTCCTTTTGTCCCTTCCCCGGCGGGGCGGGGGTCCAAGGGGGGGGGGGGGTCAGATTCACATCGCCTCTGGGGGTCCTCCTCTCCCACGCCGGTCCTTCTCCGGCGCGCCTGTCCTCCTCGGGTCCTCCTCCCCAGGTGGGGAGGAATCCTAGGGGGGGGGAGGGGAAGCAGATACGCATCCGTCCCTGGGGGTTCTCCTCCTCCTCCTCTCCTCCCCTCTCCCACGCCGGTCCTCCTCTAGTCCTCCACCCCAGTGGGGGGGGGGAGGGGCCCAGGGGGGAGTCCATCTCCCTCCTCCTTCTCCACCTCCTCCCTCCTCCTCCTCCTCCTCCTCTCCCTCCTCCTCCTCCTCCTCCTCCTCCTCCTCTTCCTCTCTCCTCCTCCTCCTCCTCCTCCTTCTCCTCCCTCCTCCTCCTCCTCCTCCTCTCCTCCTCCTCCTCCTCTCTCTCCTCTCCTCTCTTCCTCCTCCTCCCTCCTCCTCTCCCCCTCCTCCTCTCTCCCCCTCCTGGTCGTCGTCGATGTCCTTCAGGGTCGGCGGCACTGGCCGTCAGGCCTTCACAATAGTTTCATATAGTCAAAAAACTGGGGACGACTTTCCGAGTAAAAAAGTAATCCCAGAATATTCAAAATAGTCAAATCGTCGGAAAGTCGTCCCCAGTTTTTTGACTATATGAAACTATTGTGAAGGCCTGACGGCCAGTGCCGCCGACCCTGAAGGACATCGACGACGACCAGGAGGGGGAGGAGGAGGAGGAGGAGGGGGAAGGAGGAGGAGGAGGAGGAGGAGGAGGCGGAGAGGAGGAGGAGGAGGAGTAGGAGGAGGAGGAGGAGGAGGAGGAGGAAGAGGAGGAGGAGGAGGAGGAGGCGCCATCCCCTGGACAGGCGTGTGAATGTTTTTTGTTATTCTCAACCGATGGGCTATTCCAAATAGTGCGTCGCCCCTTCTTCAAACCAGTTGCTTTGAACATCGCATGGGTTCTTGTAAGTATCGCGGCCTCCCAATGTTCGACAGTCGCGGTGCCACCCACCTTCGTGTGGTGGTGGTTGAGGTGCTCCCAGCACCGCGTCCTGAGGACAGGATGCGATCGACAACGCTCGAGCACCTCAAAGCACATGGCCTGGCCACCCAGATGCCGCATCGCCCACGCGCCATCTCTGTAGTGACGCCCTGCCTCTGCATGTTCACATCAGCCGGCTGGTCAGGCTCCGCGCACTCGGGGTCCATCCTCACCTTATAGCGGCCCCTTACGGAAAACCGACCCGCCCCCAGATGCTTGGCCATTGCCTCCCGGTCCGCCTCTCTCGCTGCAGCCTGGCCGCGCTCTCTCGCAGCTCGGCCCAGCCTCGGCCGCGGCCGACTCCGCCAGGGCCGGGCTGCTCCAGCAGCAGCTGCAGCGCGGCGCTCAGCCAAGGCGACAGCCAGCGCTTGCAGCAGCGCAGCATGTCCGGCCAGCAGCAGCGCCGGGCTCAGCTCCGCGGGCTCGCCAGCGCCCCGGTCGCCCGGGGACGACGGCGGCGCCGCCGGCCTCGTCGACGGCCCAGGCCGCCACATGCACCGCGTGGCGCTGCAAGGCGATAGACCTCACATAGTGAATCCGCACCTTCCTGGGCAGGTTGGGGCCATCGGGCCCCGATTTGCGATCAATGGGCGGTTGGGTGTTGATGCATCCCCCCCTGTGCGTATCCCCACCAATCTTTGCCCCCGAAGCGACCCAGGAGAAGGCGTACCAGTGCCCGGCCGGGACGGGCCCGCCCCCCACGGCGGCGAGCCCGGTGCGGGCGCCGGGCGCGTCTCCTCGTTGATGAGGTCCTCCAGCTCCTGCGGCGTCGGCTGCCCGCAGTGCTCCTCCAGCGCGCGCCACTCTCCCCCCCTCGGCGCTATCCCCTTCATGAGAGGAGGAGGGGGAGGGGGAGTGAGAGGAGGAGGAGTGAGGAGGAGGAGGAGGAGGAGGAGGAGGAGGAGGAGAAGGAGGAGGAGGAGGAGGAGGAGGAGTGAGAGGAGGAGGAGTGAGGAGGAGGAGGAGGAGGAGCAGGAGGAGGAGGAGGAGGAGGAGGAGGAAGGAGCACGGCAGGCTCGTGCCTTTAGGACGTGCGCGCTGGTTATTGACATCGTGTGGGTCGCTCCAACCCTGCACGATGTCGGTTTCCCGGTCGTCGCCGTCGTCGTCGTCGTCTTCGCCGCCGCCGCCGCAGCCGCCGTCGTGACCGACGCCCCCAAACATACATCACGCTTGAATTATCCTCATCCCTTCCTCCAACTGCTCCGCCTCCTCCTCCCTTCCTCTCTTCCTCCCCCGGCCCTCGTATACTGCTGCACCGGCTTTTCACGTGGACACGCTGGCCGGCGATCGCATCCCAGGGAGCTGCGCAGACGCAGGGCGACCAGCGGCACGCGGATATCGGGTCGCACGGCAAGCTGCCCCCCAGGCGCGTGCGCGGCCACCGGGAGGCATCGGAGGTTCTCGCAGAAAGGAGTCTGGTCGTGCGCCCCGCGCCGAGGCGCGCGAGCGAGGCAGAAGTGAGAAAGCATGCCCTGCGACGGACCCGACCCATCTGCGCTGAGAGACAAGGGAAACAGTCCAAATGAAGTACTGCTGTTGTGGATGCCATGGCAATGGACACCCTAACAGTCCTACGTCATTGAATCACACCTGAGTTTAAAATGTTCGAATATGTTCAAGCCATGCTTTAAGCATGTGTTTACATGTGTGAAACATGTGTGACAAACATGTGTTTAAGTATCTGGAAATGACTTGCCAACATGGCTCCTCTCCCTTGATCGTCCTCCACAGAAATACTGATGGTGCCCACACACGACGCGTCACTGGCCGCGCAAGCTGCATGGGAAGCGCGCGCGTGTGGCCCGAGACCCACGGGACAGCAGCGCAGGGGACGAGGCCGGAGGCCCCAGGCTCGAAGGGGACGTGGGGGGCGGGACGGAGGGGCACGATAAGGACGCAGGAGGGGCCGAGGGGAGTTCCCGTGGACAGCAGCGGGGAGAAGGGAGACGCCTCCTCCTCCTCCTCCTTCTCCTCCTCCACATCGTCCTCCACATCGTCCTCCTCCTCCTCCTCCTCCTTCGCCTCCTCCTCCTCCTCCTTCGCCTCCTCCTCCTCCTCCTCCTCCGACAGCGACAGGGGCAGGAAGAGAGAGGAGGGCGGCCAGCACTTTCCAGCGGCACGCCGGACAAGCAGCGCGGTCCACGGCGCGGCCCGCGCCGCGTCGCCCTGGCGCACCAGAGCATCACCTGTTCATAGCTAATGCAAGGAGCCAAGGGCTCCCAACTTCGCGCTTGGCGCTGCGCGAAGCGCGAAGTGCAAATAAATTCGCGCTCGCGCGCCGCCTCCCAGGGGAGAAGAGGAGGAGGAATCGGAGCCGAACCGCGAAGCGCGAAGCGCGAATACCTTCGCGCCCTCGAGGGCGCCCTTGAGGAGCTGGCGAGGTCGAATCCGCCAGCCCGCTTCTCCGCTTCCTGCCTGCACCCTGCAGTGCGGGAGCCAAGCGCCCGCAGAATCTCTGGGCGTCCCGCGGGGAAGGAAGTCCCGTCGAGCTTGGAGCCACGCAGGAAGCCACCATGCTGAGCCCCTCGGAAGCCCTCGAAAGTGGCGAGGGGCTCGCAATGCGCACCCCCCAGGGACCACGCAGCACGTCACTGTGATGGCCCCCCAGCAGCTCTCGAAAATGGCGACAGTTTCACGGCTTGCAACCCCCCAAGGATGGCGAGGTAAAATCTGAACCCGCGGAAAACGTCGCTCAGCTGGACCCCCCAGCAGCCCCCGAAAGTGGCGACAGCTTCTCAACTCGCACCCCCCCTGGGATGGCGAGGTCAAATTTGAGTCCGCGTAGGACGTCACGATGCTGGAAACCCCAACAATCCTCGAAAGTGACGACAGTGCCGCAGCTCGCAGCCCCCGAGGGAGGGTGAGGTCTAATATGAGTACGTGTAAGACGAGGCTCCGCTGGACCCCCTGGCAGCCCTCGAATGTGGCGACAAGTTTACAGTTCGCAGCCCTGGCAAGTCTGCTTTGAATACGCGTGGGACGCCACTCCACTGGGCTGCCCGGCAGCCTTCGAACGTGGCGACAGTTTCGCAGTTCGCAGCCCCCCAGGGATGGCGAGGTTCAAAATCAGCCAGCGTAAGACGTCACCCCGCTGGACCCCCCTCGAAAGTGGCGGCGGCTTCACAGTTCGCAGCCCCCAAGGATGGCGAGGTCGAAGTTGAGAGCCCGCGTAAGACGTCACTTCGCTAGAGCCCCCAGCAGCCCACAAAAGTGACGACAGTTTCACAGTTCGCAGCTCCCCAGGGATGATGAGGTCGACTTTGAGCCCGCGTAAGACGTCACTCCGCTTGGACCCCCCAGCAGTCCTCGAAAGTGGCGGCAGTTTCGCACTTCGCAGTCGTGGCGAGGTAGAGTGTGAGCCCGCGTAAGACGTTACTCCGTTTGACTCCCAGCCTCAAAAGTGGCGACGGCTTCGCAGTTCGCAACCCTGGCGAGGTCTAGTTTGAGCCCGCGTAAGACGTCGCTCCGCTGGACCCCCCCGGCAGCCCTCGAAAGTGGCGACAGGGTTACAGTTCGCAGCCCCCCAGGGATGGCGACGTCAAATTTGACTCCACGTAAGACGCCGCTCCGCTGGACCCACCAGAAGCCCCCGAAAGTGGCGACACTTTCGCAGGTCGCAGCCCTGGCAAGGTCGCACATGAGCCCGCGTAAGACGCCGCTCCGCAGGACCCCCAGCAGCCCCCGTGACAACAGTTTCACAGTTCGCACCCCCCCAAGGATGGCGAAGTCAAATCTGAACCCGCGAAAAGCGTCGCTCCGCTGAACCCCCCAGCAGCCGACGAACGTGGCGACAGTTTCGCAGTTCGCACCCCCCAGGGACGGCGAGGTCTAATTCGAGTCCGCGTAAGACGCCGCTCCGCTGGACCCCCCATAAGCCCCCGAAAATTGCGACGGTTTCGCAGATCGCAGACCCCCAGAAACGGCGACTTTTAGTTCGAATTCTGCGTAAGACGTCACTCCGCTGGACCCCCCAGCAGCCCTCGAAAGTGGCGGCCCCCCAGCAGCCCCCGAAGAAGGCGACGGTAATTTCGCGGCTCGCAGCCCCCCTCGGAATGGCGACGGCAAATTTGAGTCCGCGTAAGACGCCTCTCCGCTTGGACCCCCCAGCAGTCCTCGAAAGTGGCGGCAGTTTCGCACTTCGCAGTCCTGGCGAGGTAGAGTGTGAGCCCGCGTAAGACGCTACTCCGTTTGACTCCCAGCCTCAAAAGTGGCGACAGCTTCGCAGTTCGCAACCCTGGCGAGGTCTAGTTTGAGTCCGCGTAAGACGCCACTCCGCTGGACCCCCCCGGCAGCCCTCGAACGTGGCGGCAGTGCCGCAGATCGCAGCCCCCCAGGGAGACCTCAGGCACGACGGCGAGGCGGGACGGCGAGATCGGAGGCAGGGTTACAGGCAGGCAGGAGAGGAGAGGAGGAGGCGGGCGAGAGGGCAGGAGCTGCGACCGTGTCGCTCGAGTCGAATCGAGAACCCGATGCAGGAAGGATGGGAACCAGACCCTCCAGGACGCGATCATTGCAAAGATGCGTCCAGAAGACGCGCGCACCACCGACGAACGAAGGAAGCAGCCCTACGCCAGGCGCGCGTGGGCAAGACGACGTGGCGAGCGTGCGGGCGACGCCGAACGCGCGACCTGGCGGACGGGACACGCGCCAGACGCGCGGCAAGACAGCGACGACGCGCCAAATGCGCGCCGGGAGGACGGGGGGAGAAGGAGGAAGATGACGATGATGGACAATTCAGCGTTGGCTGCTCATTATGGGGACCTTCCTGGAGCCACTCGCTCCACTCGTGCGTCGAAGCTGCGTCGAACGCCCGTCGATTCGAGCCGATTTTGAGTCGAACCTGAGTCGAACCTGAGTCGAACCTGAGTCGAACTTGAGTCGAACGTGAGTCGAACTTGAATCGAAGTGGGGTCGATCAGAACGGTTAGGTGGGCCCCAGGAAGGTCCCCAAAACGAGCATCTAATCAGCGCATGCATTTCAGCCAGCACGCACGCATAGGCAAAACAATACAGCTCTCACTGGCGAGCACGAGGATGCGAACGAGAGCGAGCGGCTGCGGAGCAGCGGCGAGGAGAGGGTACAGGCCGAGGAGGACGCCGGTCTCCGGCGTGCCTCGCGACCCCCCGCCTGGCCAAGCCCGCCCAGGGTCCGGGACTTGCACATACACCAGGGGCTCGGCCACAAGAATCCTCCGCAAGAAACCCAACCCTGAAATCCGCGATTTGTTAAATGAAAATCCACATGTGCCGATCGAAAATCATCAAGATCTGATTGGGAGCCCGTAGAAATCCAAGAAACCCAGGTCTCCCTGGCAAAATCCAACTGGTTTCTTGGCACGCGCCCCCACTGTAGCTCGGCGGCGGGCGAGGGCTATGTTGCAGGGCTGGGCCTAAGCGTTCTTGTTCAGTGTTGGTTTCGTTTTCTGTCATTCGTTTTGCTCTACCTGTTGTCCTGTGCCTCCCTCCCAAGACGAAACACGAGACACAGCCAAAGTCCAGCAAAACAGCGCTTAGGTCCAGCCCTGCTATGTCGACTCCATTGTACTTGAGGACTGCATCCCAGGAACAACTTCGAGCACCCCGAAAAAGCATCGAGGCAGTGTCTGCCCGACACGCCAGCGAAATGTCGAGCGAGCATCGCCTCCCAAGGGCCCGACACGTGAAGACCCTCCAGCTTCGGTACTTTCTAGATGCTCGAAATTCTCGAAGCTAAAGTAGGCTGGAACTTCACACAGCGAAGGGGGGAAGTGAGAAGGAGGAGGCCTTCTCAGAAGGCGGAGGAACTTCTCAGATGCCCAAGCGCCTTCTGAGAAGTGGTTTGTGTCTTCAGGGAAGGTTTCGAATACTTCTCAGAAGGCCGGGGGACTTCCGAGCCCTCTGGGAAGGCATTCTCCTTCGCACTTCCCCCCCAGGCGCGCCAGACTGCCAAGATGGCCTTTGCAATGCCAGGCCGCCACGTCTGGGTTTGATGCCGCTATGGCCTCCTCGGCGAGGGTTGTGATTGCTCACAGACAGCGCCTGGAGCTACTCCCAGCTTGCATCAACAGGCCAAAGGCTTGCCCAGGGCGGTCTCAACACGAAGACACCAAGACGAAGGCAGGATGAGTGCACATCCGGATGAGGAATCGAGAATCTCTGAGACCCGGAGGGTCTGGAGGATGTAGCTGGCGCCATGGCAGCTCCAGAGCGCTACAGAACGCTCTGTGAGAGCATTCGGGAACGCTATGGAGCAATCTATCCTCATACGCCGCTCTCTGCGTCACAGTCGCGATGCGTTCCGTTCTTCGGCCTCGCATTCCCGCAGCCTGCGGGGGCGCTCCACCAAGCATGTGTCCAACAGGGACCCCTCTGCTATTGCCCACGCGCCTTGCAGGTGCACGGCTTCTGACCCGACCTGCGCAGGCAGGGCAGCCTGGATCTCTCGATTACAGTCGGGGCCCTGAAGAAGGAACCCTTTTGGTTGGGGAGGTCGGAGGGGCCCCGCGTTCCTTAAGTGTTTCACAGCTTGCGTCAGGTTTTCCTTATGTTTTCGATCGGAAATCGAAGTTCAACCTGTGGAAAAAAGAGGCCTCGTTCCTTATTTAGGGTTCCTTAGGTCAAGGCCCCGACTGTGCTCGCCCGAGCGCCGCGGCTGGAGACTGGCGCACGGCTCCTGTGCGGCCGTGCTGCAAGACCTGCCTGGCCAACCCCCGGGGGCGCTCCGCGGCGCCGCCCGAGACGGCGCTCCGCGGTGGCGAGGCGGCCCTGGCCTGCACTGGAGGCCTCTTTGGCTCCGCGCAGAGGGGGGTAGGGGGAGGGGGGAAGGCTTCTTAGAAGAGGGCCGCTTCTTAGAAGGCGCTGGCCTTACATGTGTAGAGGAGGCCCGCGCCTTCTAAGAAGCAGGGGTGCTTCGAAGAAGCCTTCCCCCCTCCCCCTACCCCCCTCTGCGCGTGGCCGGCCTCTGGCGGCCAGCCGGGGCTGCCTGTCGGGGATGCACGTGCGCACTCCCAGGCGGAGGGCAGCCCCCAAAAGCAGGAGCACACACGACGTGCGGAGGACCCCGCGCGGACGTCGGCGGTGGAGCGCCCTCCACGCGTGTGCGGGACGCAAAAACGACCACAGCCACTGCTTTTCTTTTGGTGCCGCTTTCCAGCCAGCAGAAACAAAGCAGTGGTTGTGGTCATTTTCGTTAAGCTTGGCACCAGGGAAATGACCACAACCACTGCGTCTTTTTCGGCCGGCTGGAAGGCGGCGCAAACAAGAAGCGGTGGCTGTGGTCATTTTCCTGTCCCGCAGCGTGCATTTATTCCCCAGCGCGCGGAGCGCACAGGGGGTCGGCTAGAGGCGCCGCCAGGGTGCGGAGAGGGGAGTCCAGCGCCGACCCCAAAACATCCTCGCCGACATCTGAAAATGACGTTCCCGGACGCAGCCCAAACCTGCGCGCCGCGGAGTAAGATGACTGCGGACGGACTGACTGACAGACGGACGGACGGACGGACAGACTGGTCGCGCCCCTAGAAGGCCGTTGTATTTCTGGCCGCCGGATCTGCAGCCCATGGCGCAACCACTGTTTCAGGCCGTTGTCTTTCCAGCCTCCAGGTGGGCAACATATTGGGCGCACCCAACAGCAGAGCGTTTCACCCATGGCCGAAGAGTGCGCAGCCTCTGGCGCAACAAAGGCCAGGCCGATGTGTGTGAAGCCGCCGAGAGCGCAACTCCTGGCGCAACCAACAGCAGGCCGCTCTCCTATGGCGCAACCAGAGCCAAAAGATCCGGCTATTTAGCCGGCGGCCGCCGAGCGTGCCTCCTACGGCGCGAGCGGAGGCAGCTCGTGTACTTTGGTCCGCCGCGTGCGCAGGCTTGCCCCATAGCAGGCAATGCCTCTGGTGAAACCAATGCGGTCGGACCTGTAACAGAAGAACATCCTTTTCAAGAACATGAGGCCCTCCGCCGGCCAAAACCCAAACCTTGAGATCACCCGAGGGTACCCTCCCCAAGGATGCACGAGAACGTCCAACACAAACGAAGAACATGTAGGGCACCCTCTCCGAAACGACCTCGATCTTACTGCAGCCGGCAGTGCTTCGTGAAAGAACTGGTGGGATTTGGGGCGTCAATGAGGGTGCTCTCCCCGAGGTTACCCCGGAAGTTACACGGGGTTGCTGGGCCGCTCGGTTACCCGGTTGCCCGGCTGCCCTGGTGCACCGAGATGCCCAGCTGAGCAATGTAAAGCACTGCCAAGCAACGAACATCGAGGCCAAGCAATGCCAGCCAGCGCCAAGCGACGGCAAGCAATGCGAAGCAACGCCAGGTAATGCAAAGCAACGTCAATGAACACCAAGCAACGCCAAGCAACGCCAAGCAATGCTGAGCAGCGATCCTAAGTCACGCCACGCGACGCCAAGCAACGCCAAGCAACGCCAAGCAACGCCAGCAATGCCATGACAACGCCGAGCAAAGACAAGCAACGCCTAGTAACGCCAAGCAACGCCGAGCAATGCAAAGCAACACCTAGCAACGCGTAGCAACGCCCAGCAATGCCAAGCTATGCCAAGCAATGTCAAGCAACGCCAACTAACGATCCCAATAATGCCAAGCAATGCCAAACAAGGCAAAAAGGAGTGCATAAATCGTTTCGCATTTCCCAGAACTGCTTTGAATTGCTTTGAAGCAAAGAAGACCCTGATTGGTACCGCGCCGGGTTCATTTCTATTTCCGGCCGCTGAGTGCACAGCCTATGGCCAAACCCCTGGCGCACCCCACATATTGAAAACTCATGGCACACCCTACGGCGCAACCACTGGCGTAACCTATGCCACAACCGATGGATGGCACATCCCATTACGCCGTCCATGGATAATGCAACCTATAGCGCAAGCTGTGGGTTGACGCAGCCCATGGTCGAACCCAGGCAACCCATGGATGGCATAATCTAAGCGCGTGGGTGGCGCAACTCTTGGCGCAACGCAGGGGGGCGGCGCACACCCTGGCAATGCACGCTGGGCTGCGCCCGATGTATGCTCGCCGCTTGGGCTGGCGATGGGGCGCAAGCGGCGAGCTGCACGTGATGTGATCATGTCGTTGTTTGTCTTCGAACTTTCTCTTCTCTTCTCCTCCTCCTCCTCCTTCTCCTCCTCCTCCTCCTCCTCCTCCCCCTCCTCCCGCTCCTCCTCCTACTCCTACTGCCTCTGAGCATCCTGGGAAAACCAACAGGTACCGATACAACTACTCCCCGGACCTCTCTTGGGGTGCGTTCTGACCAGAATTTCGAAGCGAATCCAGCGGTGGCGACGAGGGCCTCCTCCGAGGCCCAGAACGGCGAAAACGAGGCCAGGGTAGCGGCATCGATACCTTTTCCCCGCGTGAGCTTTCTCCTCCTCCTGCCTCTCAGCATCCAGCCCCCCCCCCCTGGCGAGCCAGCATCGACTTCAGCTCGCGGGCTATCCAGAAGCGCATCTCCGGCACGAACGCCACGCTGCGGCCGGCCTGCACGGCCGGCACAGTGAGGGCATCGGATAAGAAACCATTAGATGAGGAATCCCGGGTCTGGAAGCAGGTGGAACTTCAATCGTGGATTGACCATTGGATGGGACACAGAAGAACATGCTAGTACTGTGTCCTCCTTGGATGCGTGCGCCCGACCCGAGCATATAGAACAAACATCTTGTAGTTGATCGCTTCCCGAGCGTATGGCCACAAAGAGCCTGCCACGGAGCATATACTACAAGATTTCTCGGCGCGCGCGTCGCCCCTTGGGAGGGCGACGCACGCATAGCATTAGTATGTTTGGGTGACGCCGAATGGGTATCACAGCCGCCCTCGTCAAATAAGGACCCCCCCAAGGTAAGACGACGCCAGGACGAGGAGAACATCGGGCGAGGATGGATCTGAATCTCTGAGATCCGGCGGCTCTGGAGGATGGCTCGGGCGCCGCGGCCCTCTCAGAGCGTTCGAGAACGCTCTGGAACGGATGCATCCTTGTCCTAGCCCTTAGTGGGCCCTGGAAACGACAGGGCCGTTTTTTTACCGGTTCCGTCTTGCCGTTTTTTTGCCGGTTCCGACGCCGTTATTTTACCGGTTCCGTCGCCGTTTGTTGACCGGATCCGGCTCCGGTTCCAATCCTGGAGCCGTTTTCTTGCCGTTTCCGGTCGCCGTTTTTTTGTGCCGCTTCCATTTTCAAGGGACATTTTTTTGGAAACGGTGAAGACCCACAAAGTCCTAGCCCCGTCCGACAGGGTCTGGAACCTCCTGGGCAAGCTCCGTAAACCACGCCCCCCGCCGCAGGGCGGCGGCCGGCCACGGACCGCCCCGGGCCAGGGCGACCACCCACGTGAGCGACGGACGCTGCCGCGGATGCGTGCGATGAGAACCCCTCCTCTTGCCATCGCTCGGACGTCCATTCCCGGTGCATGTGTCGCAAGATGATTCAAAATGGACTTTTTTTGTTCGGTCGCGTCCGCAAGCGCAGGCGCAGGCGGAGTCAGAAGCGGTCCGGGGCGCGGAAGCGGGCCTAATCAGCTACTGGGCGCGCCGCAGGCCGGCCGGGCCAGCTCACGAGGCCGCGGCTGTGCCGCCCAGAGAAGCTGACAGGCTGAGGGCAATTCAAAATGGACTCGCGAAGCGGGAACAATTCCTGGTGGCGGCAAGCAGCGCTGGCGGCGACTGCGCTGGCGGGTAAGAAAGTGGCTGGGCCAGGGCCGAGTGTGGCTAGCGGCGGCAACCAGCGTCGGCAGCAACCCCGGGCACATTGGCGCTAGGCAGGAGACAATAGCTCGAGTGGCGGCAATCAGCGTCGACGGCAATCAAGGCCAAGTGTGCCAAGTGGGCAGAAAAGGGATTAGCCGCAACGGAGGGGCGGCAAGACTAGTGAGGCTAGGAATGGGCTAGCAACATGCGTTGGCAGCATAAACGACTGGAGGGGCTAACAACGGCTAGGTAGGGTCCTGGTAGTGGCGAGGGGTATCGTCCAGCATTGGCTGCAATCACGGCTAGTGGAGCTTGGCAGGAGGTGTCAGTAAGGAATGACGGCAGTCCTCGTTCATCGCTGGCGGTGGCCGGCTGGCGGGGCGAAATGCGGCTGGGCATGTTTAGTGGCGGCGACTGGTGGCAACCACCATTGGCAGCAATCGGGACGAGGGAGGCGAGGCGGAAGCTGGCAGTGGCGGGTGGCAGCAGCACGCGCCAGCGACGACCAGGTCTGACGTGGCCAGCGGCCGCTCGTGCAGATGCCGAAGGGAGGCTGCGGCAACGAGCGCTGTCGGCTACCAGGGCCAGTGAGGCGAGGGCTGGCAAGGAGTGGGCTTGCTGCCGAGAACGGTGGCAGGCACGGCTATCGATTTTTGTGCCAGGCGAGGGAAGACAGGCTGCGGACGGGGCCACACATGCTGGTGGCAGCCAGGGCTAGTGTGGCCAGTGGCAGCTGGGCACGGGCCACGTGTGGGCAATGGCGCCAACCTGCGTATGCAACAACTGGGGCGAAGGAGGCCAAGCAGAGGCCAGCAGGTGCTCGCGGCGGCGATCAGTATCAGCGCCAAGCTGGCCACGTACGTAATTAGCTGGGCTGGTGGTAGCGAGGCAAGGGCTATCAATGATGAGAGGCGGCAACCAGAGCTGGTGATGGGGCTAAGCGAGGCTAAGCTAAGGGTAGATGACGGCAACCAGCCCTGGCAACAACCACAGCTGGTGTGGCTTGGGCGCGTCGGGGAGTAAGGACGAAGGGAAGCAACCAGAGCTAGCCGCAATCAAGGCTCGAAGAGCTAGTGGTGGCTGCGGCTAGTAGATCATTCAACCTTGAACGTTCGCGACTTTCCAATAGTCAGACCCCTCGGTACCAGCCGATGCGGGGCTACTGGCGGCGTTCAACCTTCAATGCCCGCGCTGGTATCGCCGCCGCGTCAACGCGGCGCGAGCCTACCGTCGAAAGGGGATTGGGATAGGCTTGGAGCCAGGTAGCGGGAACGTCTGTCGTCGAGCGTGGACCGCTCCGAGGTGCCCAAGGGCACCCGTGGGCCACAAGGGCCATCTCGGGATACGCCTGCCGGCAGGCGGGTTTTACGTTTGACGCGCTTCTTGTGCGAGCAGCGGGCGTCGTGATGCAAGACGACGAGAATGGCGAATGGTTTGTTCGGCTGGCTACCACCCGATGACCCGATGCTGTGCATGACGGCGTGGTGCGTCAATCAATCAAGCGCCTGCTTGTACTGGACCGGACGGCATGCCTGCTTACACCTGTGTCACGTCAAGACCGACGTCGTGCCTGCAAGCCGGGAGCATCCGGACACTCTGCGCCTGCTTGCCCTTGAACGGGCAGCCCAGCTGCGCGCACATGTGCCCCTTCACTGCGGGAAGAGAAAGAGAGAGACAGAGAGAGAGAGAGAAAAGAGAGAGAGAGAGATGACGAGCTACCTATACTAGACCTATACGACCGACGTGCGAGCGATAAGGAGTTTGAGGAGGGGATTGTGAACAAATGAATTGATGGACTGGGTTGGATGGATTGGATTGGGTGGGATAATATAAGATGGGGCAAGATGGGTTGGATAAGATAAGATGTATTGGATTGGACAAGATGGATTGGATTAGATAAGCTGGACTGGATAAGAAAGCCCGTCTCAGGCGCCGACAAAAATGAATCGATTGATTGGGTTGGGTGGATTGGATTGGATGGGACAAGATGAATTGGATAAGATAAGATGGGTTGGAAGAAATGGATTGGGTAAGATGAGATGGATTGGATTGGCCCGCCGCAGGCGCAGAAAAAAATGAATTGATGGATTGGGTCAGGTGGATCGGATTGGGTGGGATAAGATAAGATGGGACAAGATGGGTTGGACAAGATAAGATGGAATGGATTAGACAAGATGGGTTGGACAAGATAAGCTGGATTGGATAAGAAAGCCCGCCGCAGGCGCCGAAAAACATGAATTGTGAATTTATCGACATGCGTTTGCGCCGGGACGCCAAGGACACCCGGGACACCCGGGACACCGCCCGGGGACACCTGCCGGCCACCGGCGGACGGGAAACGGACTTTCGCTCCTACTGACACCTGGGACACCCGGGACACCGCGGCCCAACTGGGACACCTCCCAGCCACCGGCGGACGGGAACGGACTTTCGCTTCTACTTCGGCCTAGCTACAGGAGGATCACGCGCAGCTTCGCCTCGCCCGCACGCACGACACGAACACGAAACCGAAACCGATTTCCCAGTGGGGGGTCTCTGTTTCACTGCGATCTCACTCCCCAACCTCCGATAAAAGGACCCCTCACCCTTTGGGAGGGGACCAAGCTAGGAGGGCCGAAAACATTAGGGATAGAGATCTTTTCTGCAGGTGAATCGAACCAAACCGCCTGGATCTACGATCCCGACGATGCCTAATGCAAAGACGGGGCCTCAGTGAGGCTACGTCTTCACCGTATCATTAGGGTTAGGGGTTCTGGTATCCTTGATGATGAGAGAGAGAGAGAAACAAAAAAAAAAAAAAAAAAGCTGCAGCAGGCCGCAGGGCCTTCTGGCTGGGGCGCGAGGTGCGGCCGATGCAGTGGGCGTACTCCTCGCGGGGGCGCGGCCCGGGCGGAGGCTCCGGCGGCGGAGGCTCCTCCTCACGCTCCTCCCCGTCATTTGTAGCCATCGATCTATGTTGCTCCCATCGTGTTTGAGGACCACATCCCAGAAATACTGTCGAGCACCCAGAAAAGTATCGAAACAGTGTCGAACGAGTATCGCCTCCCAGGGCCCGACACGTGAACACCCTCCAGCTTCGGTACTTTCTTGGTGCTCGAAACTCTCTCTGGTGGTCAAGGCTACAGTAGCCTGGAACATCATAATCCTCGATCTAGCCACCCACGCACGGGCAGCCATTCGGCGGCGACCACGGCGAGGGGAGGAAGTGAGGAGGGGAAGGCCTTCTCAGAAGGTTCGGAAGTCCCCCCGGCCTTCTGAGAAGTCGTGTGAACCTCCCCCGAGGACAGAAACAGCCTCTCCGAAGGTGCGAGGGCTTCTGAGAAGTCCCGCCGCTGAGAGGGCCTTCTCCTTCTCACTTCCCCCCCTCGCTCGCCGCCAAGCCGATCAGCGCCTGAGCCCCCCCCCCGCCCCCTCGAAGCACCGCAGCGCGGGGCTGCGAGAGGCGCCCCTGCTAAAACAACGCGATCCTGGTGTTTTCGCAGACGCCCTCTGCGTAACATGTGCAGCAGGCTGCGCCGTGCGGGCCGTCGTGACACAGGTATGCGTTGCGAGGAGTTGCTCCAATTTCTTCCAGAATTAGTAACCAGTTCCACAGCAGGTGCAGTACGGTAATTGAATGATGACCAGTTCCACAGCAGGTGCAGTTGTTCCAATTCTTCCAGAATCAATAACCAGTTCTTCCAGGCAATTGAATGATGACTCCTCAGAAATCGAATCTAGGGGTGCAGCCTTCGCCGACTCTGAGCGTCGCAGGGTGCCCCGAGGCTCTGAGAGTCCATCGGGGGATACGAAGTTTTGTGGGGCACAGGTTGGCGGGGCACAAATTGACCTGCCACTGGCAACCAATAATACACTCGCTGGATCCGTCGGAATTCGTAACCTGCAACCAATATCATGCCTTCCGCCGTAATGCGAACCTAGAATTCGGTCGGGCGTATCCTCCGACAGGTGGATTTGGGACGAAGAATTAAAAATACTCCAAACATAATCAAAAATAGTCATACATACTCGAAAATTGTTGTCGCTTCGCGAATCCCCACCAGCCCATCCAGAAACGATGCCCAGAGGAATTGCCTCGATCAGAGAAGTGGGCAGCACACAGAGGAAGCCATTATGAGACATCTTGGGATATCTTGAGCCATCTTGGAGGTCATTTTGGGCTCTCCCAGACGCTCTTGGAGTCATCTTAATCCGTGCCCCCCCCCAAGAGGCCTCCATGTGGCTAAAACCTGTGTAGAATCAATGATTAGGCATTCTCGCCGAGGCCTCTTGGAGCATCTTGGGTGCATCTGGGGGGGCTCTTGGGGCCTCTTGGGGGTCTCTTGGGGGCCTCCGGGGGGCCTCTTGGGGGCCTCTTGGGGCCATTTTGGGGCCATCTTGGGACCTCTTGGGGCTTCCTGGGCGCTTCTTGGGGCCATCTTGGAGGAGATCGATCAAACAAGAGGGGGGGTTTAATTAGCGTCCCCCCTCGGAAGCCCCTAAAATCGCCTCTTGGACCCCTCTTGGAACGCTCTTGGAGTGCTCTTGGGCGCTCTTGGGGCCGTCTTGGGGCTCTTTTGGGGCTCTCTTGGGGCCCTCTTGGGCCATCTTGGAGCCATCTCCAGGCCTCGGATGGCCATCGGAAGCGAAAAGGCGAGAAAGCAAAAATCATTGATTTTCCTTAGGTTTTGGGACGATTTTGGCCTCTTCGGGGCCTCCTTGGGGAGCTGTTTGGCCACTTGGAGTTATCTTGGGGCCGTCTTTGGGCTTCTTGGAACCATCTTAGGAGCCATCTCGAGCGATCTTGCGCTATCTTGAGCCATCTTGGAGCTCATCTTGGGTTCTCTGAGGCGCTCTTGGAGCCGTCTTGGGCCATCTGGGACGCTCTAACTACCAGCGGCCCCCCCCGTCCAGGTCCAGGGGAGGGGGTAGGGGGAGGGGTAAACCCCTCCCCAAGGGGGAAGAGGGAGGGGTGGAAGAGGATCTGCTCTAGACCACCTACGCCCAGAGGGCTGGTGGGATTGGTCACCTGACTGTTGTTTGATTTTTTGGGAATATTCCTCGTGTAGAGAGGGACAGTCCCAACTTAAGTCTAGAGCGCGGCAGAAGCAGCTGGACGCCGCCACGGCCTCTGACCCTTGTCTTCCTCCCACCTTTCTCCCTGCTTGACTGGAGAGGACAGAAGAAGAGAGAACGGCATGACAATACATGCTCGACGGTGCGCGCGGATGTCTAGGACCTGCGCTGGACAACCCCTCCCTGGCGCGAGGAGCGCGCCCCTCTGGCCGCGCCGGAGGCGCCGCCAGCGGGGCCAGGGCAGGTCCAAGAAATCCGCGCGGACCGACGAAAGTGCACGCTCATGCCGATGTGCTCCTTCGAGGATGGACAGACCCCCCTTTAGTAAAACGTGGTGTAGTGAAAACGACCTGAGGCCCAAACCTGGCGGGCGCAAACCTGGGAAATAACGGCCACGGCGCCCTCTCACTGTTGGGGGTTCTGTCCAACCCCGACTCCTCTTCGGGAGGAGGAGTCCTGAGGAGGAGGGGCACAGCCTGACCACGCATTCACGCGCGGATGCGGAACCTCCTCCGCAGCTAGTGCGACGGCACCCCTGCCCGCCCGCCGCTGGCATGCGGCTGTCCTTGATGGTGAAGGGGAAATCAAACAGCAGCACCTGAGAGAGGGCACGCGGGGCCACATACTCACAAAGCGCGGAAGAGAAAACGAGAGAGGACAGAGGGGAGCACAGAGCGGAGAACTTAGAGCACGGTTGACCGCACATGAAGCCCAGAAGAAGCGGCTGTCCACCACGCACCGCCTGAACTTTTTGCCATCCCGCCCGCTCCTCCCCGTCGAAGCCCGCTTCGTGTAGGAATTAAGTCATGCATGAACTCATCGTTGTGTTTTTAATACTAAATCCATGCCTTTTTAATACATGATCCGCACGCGGAGCATGTATCAAAAACGGCACTGTACAGAGAGGGGGGGAGCTAGCAGCGAGAACACGCCAGCCGACTGCACGGCACTAGGTGGCCAGAGGGGTTCCGCTGCCAAGCAGACGCGCAGATGTTCAACCGCAGCGTCGACGGACAGTTGCGCACGGAGAAAAAAACAGCTCGGAACAACAGCGCGGCATCTTCCACAATCTCGAGTCCAGGCCAGACCCAGGTAATGAGCCGATTACGCTGCGGAAGGTAAGGATGAGAAGAAGGGGTAATGAAATAGAATAGGAGCAGGATAATCACTACCAAGATACTGATTCACATATAAAGTGAGGTTCAAGCATTGTGCAGCGATTGAGGGCTGTCTGAACAAGGGTGCTTTCATATCCCTGGCTCCATTGCTGCTGCTGCTCCTCCTCCTCCTCCTCCTCCTCCATCTCCTCCTCCTCCTCCTCCTCCTCCTCCTCCTCCTCCTCCTCCTCCCTCCTCCTTTTCCTCCTCCTCCTACTCCTACTCCTCCTTATCTGCATCCTCCTCCTCCTCCTCCTCCTTCATGTGTTCTCTCTCCTCCCCCTCTTCGTCACCCTTCTCCGCTTCCACGACCTGGTCATCCAGTCCTTGTCCTCCTCCTGATCCTCGTTCTCCTCCTCGACTTTTCCGCCTCCTCCTGCTCGTCCTCCTCCTCCTCCTCCTCTTCCTCCTCCTCCTCCTGCCCCCCCCCCCCCCCTAGCAGGGACAGGGAAGAGCGGCACCACCACCACCAGGGCTCGGAGCCATGAAGGGGGTGCCCTGATGGCAGCGTGGTCCCCCTCCCCCCTCCCCGCTCGAGGCCCCCCAGGCCCCCCAGCTCGGGGAGGCGTCGTGGACCTCCTCCCTGCAGGAGGCATCTGATGGGCTTGTTTTTCCACCACCACCACCACAAGCTGTAGGGGGGAAGGAGGAGGTATCGGTATCGCTCCACTGAGTCCAAAGGACGGACGGACTAGGGAGAAGTTCGGGGTTCCCCCCTCACACCAAGCTCTCGGCTCTCCACACCTGGAGGGCGCCCGCGACGGTGCCTTTTCGGCAGACGTCGGCGCACGGCCAACCTCTCCCAAAGTGGTTGCTGCGCCGAGGCAAGAAAAAAACTCATCCATGGACGCAATGAAAAAACACAGGATCGCAGTATCCACCAGCAGATCCTTGGTGGCAGTCGTGAGCCTGCAACACAGGAAACGAACGTTTTTTTTTCTGCGCGACTAACTAACAACGGAGCTGGGACCGCTGGCCGCCTGCAACAAAAGTATCAACACAAAGTACTGTCTGCTGCTCAGACGTGGCATCACTGTACGAGACACAACATGTACATGAAGCTGTCGGGCGCGTCCTTGTAGTGCCCCCTCTGGCCATATCGCGTATTCATTATCTAACGCACACTGCATCGCAGTGTAGATGTCGGACGCTTTGAGCGCAATCTGCGTGGTGCAGACCTCCTCGAAAAAAAGCGGTGCCACTGGGGGTAGAAACGCTCGTCTTGAGTCCTGCGTTCTTCTCAGTGGTGCCGTCATCGACGGCGAGACGCCTGCAGCCCTGAGTACCTGGGTAAGCAGCAGCACGTTCCAGGCCTAGTTGACCAAGGCTGCCCATTGCGGCACAAACATACTTAGAGCTCGAGAATATGTTCTTCCAAAGGTACGTGCTGACGAAGATGCCACTGAGCCTCGGAATAACCCAGGAATGAAACCTCACACAGCTGACACTCGTAAGGAGGAGGAACAACATGAGTAAATACCGTAGCGGAACCTCGGGATCTAGGACACTTATTGTTAACCATACTACGTAAAATGGGGTTGACTCGCTATCCTTTTCGTAGCGTACATATTCCCACATAAAATACACGCGTTCGAAACAGTAACCACATTAGCCAGATCACGAAGTCCATGTTTTGGTAATCTAGAGTTCACTTGATGCAGCACTAGTTGACGCCTAGTGGGGACTACAGCACTACAGATACCTACCCCCTCCCCCAGGTTAAGCCCACAGACGAAGCCAGGGGGAGGGGGAGGAGGAGGAGGGGGAGGAGAGGGAGGCGAGGCCCCAAGGGACACAGAGGGAGGTATCTGTTGACCTAGATATTCACTTGCCAGGACTCGAGGATCAGTGCCGAGGAAGGCGCCCCGCACACCTTCGTTGCAGAATATCGCAACAGGCCGCGCACGGACAGACTCCACGTGTTGCGGGCACTCTCCAGCTCGAAACAGATCTTCCAGATCATCTTGAAACTGCGTCCACCAGGAACGTACAAGCCCCACTCTGTATCCCTCCCCATCCAAGGTCCTGAACTCTTTATCCCCCCACAAACTCTCCCCGAACATGGCACCTAAGATCTGTAGGTTGCGCAAAGAGCGCTTCGCAATATCCTGCATCCACGTCAATCTCTGCACTCTGAGAGAGAGCGACACCGGCACAAGCCTCAGCTCAGAGAGAACTTTCTTGCTAGTCATAGCGTTGTACTGCGTCCCCTCCTCCTCCAGATGTTTACCGCTAGCCTTCCCCCTCAACAATCTGCGCGACATAGACGCTTGAGCGCCGCCCCGTAGATGCGTACTCTCGCTACGCAGAACCGAGGCTACTAAAGCCGACAGCAGTGCACCTTCCACCACCGAACGAAACACTATACTTTTCCAACGCTCGTTGGAGCAATACTGCCGGAAACCTTGCAATACATTGTATCCCTGTCGAGCTTTCTAAACACGCCGAAGGATTTCAGCAACTGGACTGCCATCCGCACGCAGAAACGGGCCGAGATATCTGCACGATTGAGTGACTTCCCCAGCCATCTCCTCCCCACTCCTAAACCTCCAGGTGCCCTTTTCTTCAACACACCTCCCCCCATACAGACGACGCCGGGCAGCGTTGGCACCCTTGCCACCCAAATGCGCTAAACACTCCTGCTTGCTCGGGTTGGCCTGAACGTCGGCGATACTTAGTCTGTCTTTTAGATGTTCAATGTTAGTTTTGTTGAGCCTGATCAGACCATCGAACGAACGCACGAGCTGAGTCCTAGCAAGATCATCCGCGAACGCGGTCAGAGACGCAACGAGCGGCTGCTGCGACCAAAAACAGAGGCGGACACGATCATGCACATCGTCAGTCAAGCAATGCTTCAGCCACGGAACAGACACGCTAAGCCCAGGGCACTCGGTACACGCAACTCCGTCAATGGGCCAGTGATACGGACCCAGAAACCATAAACAAGCGATGGAGTCCCCAAGGAGCGTGCCCGAGCCGATCCCCATCTCTAGAATACCGTCCACACATTCGAGACTGACATGACCGTGCATCAATCTTTCCGCAAAAAGCGCAATAGCGAACTCATCCGAGTTCAGCCTGATGAACATCATCAGCATTTCGTGCGATACACTGTGGAACGCGTTCGTCGCGTCGTAAAAACCCGCGCAGAAACTCAGGCCCCCCAGCACGTAATCTTTCTTGTACCAATCCCTGCACTAGTATAGCTCCTTCCCTCCTCCTGTTCTTAAGATATCCGCACGCATAATGTCTAGAGGCTTCATACGTCAGCTGCGGGTTAGCTCGCCATAGATATGCGTAGTACGCCTTGCCAAACGGGTCTGAACTATGAACAAGTCGAAGTCCTGAACACTCTGCTTTCCCGTTGCCCTTGCTTAGAGTGAACGCTTGACTGCAATGCCGGAGCTTCGACATGAAATCGTACAGCGGCCACTATCGCGAACAGACAGTGCCTAATTGCCAGCAGGTCCCAGCTCTCAGGATTAGCACCTAACCCCTTCTCGAGCGCGTGGCTTAAACTCCTTAGGCCAGAACAACATACGCCACACGGCGGCTGGCATAGACAACGACGGAGGTGCGCGGCGAAGTTTAGCCCGCCTGAAAAACCCCGAAACTTTGCCACACACCTCTTTCGTAGCACTGTTAGCATCCTGCAGACTGTCCGTTCTAGGACCACGCGTGAGTCTCTCGTCCACAGCCTCATCGTATTTCGGAGCACCAGCGGAACAACCTCCTTCCTCTCCTGGCTGCGAGAGAAACTGAGATCAGGTATCACAATCTAAATACACTCGAGGGGTCGAGGGCAGACGCAGCTTGGGGCCAAGCGACTTCCCGCTTAGCTTACGCGTTAATCCCCATGACACAGCAAAACTCCGCTCGCCCCAGGAATCTTCAAGCTCGGACACCCTCAGCCCAAAACGACGGCTTCTGCCACGCCGCGTGAAATACCTAACAGAGCGGTCGGCCCGTCGGCACAGGGTTCGATGCATGGCAGGCTCACACATGCCACCTAAACATTCACAATACTGCTTGCACACGCGAACGAGTATGCCGCATGCCGTGAGGGGGAGAAGGTCGAGCAAGGAAGAGGACGCCACAGGAGGAAAGGGAGGGGGGGAGAAGGAACAGGGCAAGCACTCAAAGACCTCAGGCAAAGCCTCCTCTCAACGCGCACAGCTAGCGCATCTGACGTACCTTGCGGCCTCACAGCGTGTTTGGGCTGAGCCCTGAACCTGATATTGCCACGAACCCCGACCTGGAAGGACAAGTGTGTGTGCCTTGCGAGGAAAAGGAAAACACAGAAGAGGACGCCTAGAGGGCGCATAGTGCTGGGTTTGTGTTGTCCGTTTGGCGTTCTGCCGCTTCAAGGCGCATTGTGCTGGTTCCCGTGTTGTCCGCTTGACGCTGTGCTATTTTGTCAGGGCGTCTCCTGGCATCTTGG